TAGTACCTTGAAGGCATCTAAGGATGTGCTTAATACCGTTCCAGTGCCTTTGAGTTGGACACGAACTAAAGCGAGCTAAGAGGCTCACGGCAAAGCAGATGTCTGGTCTAGTGTGACTAGCCAAGTACATTAATGCTCCTATGGCACTGAGGTATGGCATTTCAGGACCGATGATTTCTTCATCGTCCTTCTTTGGACCGAATGGATCACTATCCAATCCAAGGCTCCTCACAACCATTGGGCTGGTCAATGGGTGGGCCTGGTCCATATTGAATCTCTTGAGTACCTTTTCAGTGTATGCCAATTGATGCACAAGGATTCCGTCATTGACGTACTCAAGTTGTAATCCCAAACAGAATTTAGTTTTGCCTAGGTCTTTCATTTCAAACTCTGTTTTTAAGCATTCAACTGTTTGGGCGATTTCACCAGATGTTCCGAGGATGTTCAAGTCATCCACGTATACTGCTATGATTACAAATCCTTTGTTTTGATATTTTCTGATGAAGATGCATGGACTGATCGGATCGTTTTCGTAGCCTTCTCTGATGAGATATTCGCTTAACCGGTTATACCACATACGTCCGCTTTGTTTCAGTCCATATAAGGATTTGTTCAGCCTAATGCAGTGTTTATCACGAGATGCATGCTTATCTTTGAGCTCAATACCATCTGGTAATCTCATATAGATTTCTCTGTCCAGTGGTCCATAAAGATATGCGGTTACAACATCCATTAACCGCAAATCTAAGTTTTCTCTTATGGCCAGACTTATGAGGAATCGAAATGTAGTTGCATCCACCACTGGAGAATAAGTCTCCTCATAATCGATTCCGGGTCTCTGTGAGAATCCTTGTGCTACAAGGCGTGCCTTGTATCTAACGACTTCGCCGAGTTCGTTTCTTTTACGCACAAAGACCCATTTGTTTCCCACTGGTTTAACATCGAATGGTGTCCTTAAGATCGGACCAAACACATTCCGTTTCTTTAAACTATTCAACTCCACGTTTATGGGTTCTTTCCATTTCAGCCAATCTGATCTACGAGTGCACTCAATTATAGACGTGGGTTCTAGATCCTCTTGCGTGTGCGCAATCTCAAGTGCTACCTTGTATGCAAAAGTTTCATTGATGTCGACATCTTTTCTGTTCCATAGAGAACCGAATATGATATAATTGATTGAGATCTCATTATTATCAATCCCTTCAGAACCTTGAGTTTTGGCGTCCCAAACCTCTTGAGATGGTTCGATAGGGTAAGTATCAGCTGAGGCTGTATCCGTGTTCTCTTGAATCCCGGTTTCAATCATTGCACCTTTCTTTGATTTCCGGGGATTCTTATCTTTGGAACCTGGTGGTCTGCCACGTTTCTTACGTGCGTCAGACTCTGTAGCAACTTGACTTTTCCCTGAGGGGACATCTATTCGTACTGGTGCATTACAAGCAGGTATGTACGATTTGGTAACTTTGTTCGGGTCAGCAAAGGAATCTGGCAATTGATTAGCTAGCTTTTGTAAATGTATAATTCTTTGGACCTCTGAATCACATTCTAGAGTCTGAGGATCTTGCCATTGTGTGGATGTTTGATTCCATGAAAGTTCTTTTACCAGCTTGTCTGTCTCACCACCTAATCTAGGATATACCGATTCATCAAATCGGCAAACAGATCTCCTGTAGTTGGCTCGAGATATTTTATGATGGTGGAAGAATCAAAACCAACATATATTCCCATCCTCCTTTGAGGTCCCATTTTAGTCCTCTGTGGTGGTGCAATGGGTACATAGACTGAACACCCAAATGTTTTAATATGGGAGACGTCTGGCTCATGACCCGTTAGCAATTGGGATGGTGAATATTTGTGCTCACTAGATGGTCGTATGCGTATTAGTTCAGCGGCATGTAAGACTGCGTGTCCCCAAGCTGAGACCGGGAGTTGTGACCTCATGAGTAATGGTCTAGCAACCCATTGAATTCGTTTAATGAAGGATTCAGCTAATCCATTTTGTGTATGGACATGTGGAACGGGACGTTCAACACTTGCCCCCATGGACATACAATATTCATTAAACGCTTGGGAAGTGAATTCACCAGCATTATCAAGACGTATAGTCTTTAATGGGAAGTCTGGAAAATGGGCTCGTAATCTGATGATTTGGGCCAATAACCTAGCAAAAGCCTGGTTCCTAGAAGTGAGCAGACAGACATGCGACCAGCGGGTCGATGCGCCAATGAGGACCATGAAATATCTGAATGTCCCACAAGGTGGGTGAATTGGTCCACATATGTCTCCTTGGATTCTTTCCAGAAAGTTCAAGGTCTCTTTAGACACTTTGACTGGTGAAGGTCGGGTAATCAGTTTCCCTTGTGAGCAAGCTGTGCACTTGAGGTGTGATCTGCTCAAAGTTTAATCCCTAAGCTACTCTGCAAGAGCACAGATGTGCAGTTGTAGTATGTAGGGGTCGAACCACAGAGACAAGAGATCACTCAATAAACCTTATAGAGATTGAATTACGCTAAGCAGAAATATTGTAAATAAATAGCAATGCAACAGAATTAGACTAAGCAGCAATAAAAACGGTTTGTAAGATTCAGATGGATGGAGATTAGGCTTAGGGCGTTTCTCAGGAAATCAATGCATGCAGATCAATCGATTAGTCAGGGTTCAGGTTTAAGCACAGTTCTTGAACTCGAATCACAGAATTATAATTAACCAACTTCCGTTGTGAGAATTATCTAAGTCAAAATCCTAGAATTCCAAATTCCTTTGCAAACCCTAAAGATTTAAACCAGCTTTAATGCTCAAGTTCGATATGTTCACAAAGTATCTAAACCAAATTCCTTTGCGAATAGCTACTTTGCTCACCCTAGGTTCTTTCCAGTTATTCAATTACACTTCCGTGTCAATAAAGCAACCTAAGATCTAAGTTCTAGGTGGCCAATCCAGAATTAGCTTTAAGAACAACCTATGGTGAAGAACTAAATAGATTATGAACCCTAACTAACCAATCAATCTAACAAACAATGAAATCCTTTATGAGAACCCTAAACCTAACAAGCAAACTACTCAGACATGGAGATTGAAGCAATAAGCATGATTGAATAGCTTGCAGTAAGCAGTAAATAGATTAATAAACAGGGGTTCGAAATCTTCTCTCTCCGGAACAGAGTTTCAGACTTGTCTCCCCAAAAACTCTCAAAAACAAAAACTCTCTCTAAGAAAATCTAAGGTAATCGTAAAAAGGGAATAAAAACCCTATATATATCTCTAAGACACGTTTTGGGCTTCTTTGGAAACGTTTAGGCCCAACTCCTTCTTTAAATAGGAAACAAAATCGCCTTTTCCTTATTTCTTTGACAAGTGTCGCGCGTCACTCTCCATGGTGTCGAGCGTCACTAAAGCACAAAATCCATACTTGTCGAATTTGATCCTGATTAAGCTCCAAAGTGCTCCAAAGTCTCCAGTTAAGCTCCAAACGTACCTATGACCTGAAAAGACTCCAAAAGACTCGAAAGACACTAAAAAGACTCTATAAATAAGACTTATACCATGGTTAAAAACCATAAAAACCATGATATATCAACTCCCCCAGACTTAGCATTTGCTTGCCCTCAAGCAAACATAACACCAAACAAGAGAAAGAAGTTTGAAAACACAGAGACTCAACCTTTCATTGGAACATCGCTTTTGACTGATCACCCTGCAACTCAACTACTGCTTCATCATTCCAAATCAAACCACCATGTACTTCTCCGTAGACATTCACAGCTTTTCAGATTAAGTCCGAAATTCCACAACATGGTCCATAAACCTTCATCGCTGGATCTCACTGATGATTCAGATGCCAAGAACCTTCTAGATTCTTTCCCATTCTGTACTCAAACAAATCAGCCATACAAACTTTGGTACTTTTCTCTCCCCCAGACTTATTCTTTTCGCACACTCATCATCATTTTTTATGGCATATACTCGATAAGGGTAAAGCTGCGAGTACTGATGGTGTTTGCCACCAAGTCCCCAAGTTGTCCCCTTACCTTGTATCAAAGGTTTTCAGCGAATAGTGGGGTCATGGGAAACATTCCTACCCCTCACTTCCTTCCTTTGTGTGATCATTCCAACTTAGAAGTGAAATAATGGGATCCTTGGAAACATTCCTAGCCCTTCACTCCTAAGCAAAAATCATCTCAATCTTTTCGCCTTTTTCTTTGTTTTTCTTCTTCTTAGCTCGTTACAAGGGAGAGAAATACCAACATTAAATTTCACACAGGCTTTCATTGATCAAGTATGAACGAGGAATCAAGCTCTAAGGCATTAGTCACATCAGCGAGTTAAAAGTGAAGTTCAGAACTTAGCTCAGGTTAGTGGATTCTGTTGGAAACATGAACGCCTCTAGTGAACTGGTCAGCCTTTGGATTTTTCATTAGTCGGATCTAGACTGAATCTGCAGCAGTGGTCACTTAGGTGAAAGGTCAGCACAATAATTCCAGGAAAAGCATCATGATCTCCAACAGGTTTTGACTCAAAAACGTTTTGACACAACTGACTCTTAAGAAAAACAAACACAATGTCAGCAACTACCTCCCCCAGACTTGAATAACACTGTCCCCAGTGTTATCTAGTCCGAAGGTGGCGAAACAAAATAAAAGAAACAGAGAAACGCAGGAAAAACAGAGAACTTACCTGGCTGCAATGATGGTGTCGCGCGACACTGATGATGGTGTCGTGCGACACTTGTTTTCCTCGTACCGAATTGCAGCAGACCAATCCGAATTTCTGGTTTGACTCCGGTTGCCTGATTTCCTAAATTTTTTTTTTTTTTTTTTTGAATAGAAGCAAGTGACAAGCGACACCGAAGGTGGTGTCGCTCGACACTAACATCTGCTTCACCTGAGACACGAAAAGAAAAACGAAAATCAACTGAAACAAAAAGACTTATGTACAGACTCACCAGTGGATTGCCTTCCACCAAGCGCTTGTTTAAAGTCATTAGCTTGACTATGGATAGACTATGCATCTGGTGGATCAGACAGTGGCAAAGAGTGTCTCTGTGAAATTCGTCTCATCCATGGTGGTGTGTAAGCGTTGTGCGCATGAGGTCGTCCAAGGAATGCAGGAATAGCACCAGGGTGAGATCTGTGTTTGGGTGGCCTTGACTTATTCCCTGCAATATCATCAAACGAAAAACCAAGTGCTCTACGATAATCTCGTAGCTTGCGTCGTGAGACAGAGCCTGCATCCTTTGAATCAGTTCCAATGATATCACGAGAATTAGGCTTAGGCTCAAGAGGTGCGTACCTTTGCTTTGGTGGAGATGGATGGAGTGCAATGTTTGGAGCTTCCTGATCAACAGCAGTCATTGGTTCTGTAGACGTTTTCGTCAACTCTGGTTGATCTCTCACCTTCTCAGCATCAAACACGTTCTGATCTCCAACTATCACTTCAGGTATTGCACTGACTTGGAATGTCTGACCATCTATGGTGGGATCCTTCAGCTTCTCCATCTTGAAAGTCATGATGGTATCTCCCAGGTGGAGATCAAGGTTACCATGCTTGACATCAATCACCGCTCCAGCTGTAGCTAAAAACGATCTTCCCAGGATAAGAGGATCTTTGGGTTCCTCTCCATATTGCAGAACCACGAAATCTGTAGGAATTATGCAATCACCAACTTTGATTGGAACATCTTCCAAGACACCTTTTGGGATTCTTTTAGACCGATCTGCTAGGATCAAAGAGATCTTAGTTGGCTTGAAGTCAGTCATCCCAAGGCTAACAGCTACAGAGTGTGGCATGAGGTTGACACTTGAACCAAGATCACACAGCGATCTCTTGAACCTCTCTGAGAAGATAGAGCAGTCCAAAACAAAACTTCCTGGGTCCGAGAGCTTTTCTGGAATCTTATTATGAATCACAGAACTGACATGTTCAGAGATCATCATCGCTCCTTCCTCATGACCCACATTATTAGTCACCATCTTCTTCACATAGTGTCTGAGAGTAGGAGCAATCTTCACAGCATCAACCAAAGGAATCTCAATCACAAGCTTCTCCATCAAAGCCTTGCATCTGGCATCATCTAGCTCCTGCTTGGACTTCCTAGGACTCCTTGGGTAAGGAACCTTAGGTTTGTAAACTTTTTCCTCAGCAGATTTCGGACTTTGAGCAATATTAGCTTTGCTCTGCAATTGGTGACGCGCGACACTGGTTGTGGTGTCGCTCGACACTGGCTCTGCAGTTTCGAAATTTTTTTCAGATTCGTCAAACTCCACGATTTCATCCTCAGAAACACCCTTTTTCAGCACAGGAGTCAACTTTTTACCACTCCTTGACGAGATGGCACTGCAGTAATGCCTAGGATTGGTATCAGTCTTCCCAGGAAGGAATCCTTCTTGCCTTTTTACATACTCTGCAGTCTGAGCAACCTGAGTATCAAGCTTCTTGACATGAGTGTTCAGAACTTCAATTTTTCCATTCAGATCCAGATATAGAGCATCAATCTTCCCATTGAAATCTACAGTCATCTTCTGCTGACCTTCCAAAATCTGTTCCAGCATAGACTTCACCTCATTATCTGGAGTTTGAGTAGGAAGAGAACCATAGTTCCTTGAAAACCTGTTGTTGGAGTAGGATGTCTGGTACTGAGGTTTGGAGCTGTAACCAGAAGAGTTCTGATTACCTGTGAAGGTACTCCTCTGATTATTTCCATTGTAATTCGTGTTCCCTTGCCCAGAACCAAATCTCTGACCCTAAAATCCAGCTCCATTGATGAAGTTAACATCCTATTCCTCAAAAGCTTCATCTGGTCCGAAATTCTGAACTCCTGCAGGGTATCTGACAGATTTCTTACCCACAAGAAGACTATGCACAGAGTCAAGCTTAGCCTTCACCTCAGCAATTTGCGATCCATCCAGGTTCCCAGCCTGCTTCCTTCGCTGATAGTCTGCATTCTTGGTACTATTGCTAAATGCCAAGTTTTCGATGAGCTCAACAGCTTCGTCTGGGTATCTGGTGTTGAAGTTTCCATTGCTCGCTGCATCAAGAGCCATCTGATACCTCCAGTCGATACCTCTAAAGAAAATACCCAGAAACTGCACATCGCTGAAGCCATGATGGGGACAGTCTCGCTGGTACGATTTGAATCGCACCCAGGAAGCTTTGAACGCTTCAGTTGGTTCCTGAGAGAAGGTCGAAATTTTCGTCCTCAACTCCTCAGACCTAGCATCATCGAAGAAGTTGTGCAGGAAAGCATTCCTGGTCTCTTCCCAAGTAGTGAGTGATCCTGGCTCCAACTGCTTCAACCAGTTAGCTGCTTCTCCAGCAAGAGAGTAAGGAAACAGCTTGCAGAGGAGGAAATCATTGGACACTCCATTGTATTTGATGCTGGTGACCAAGTCCTCAAACCTCTCGATGTGATCCATAGGGTGCTCATGAGAAAGACCATGGAAAGGATGCTGACCCACGAGAGTGTAATACACAGGCTTGAGCTCAAAATCATTCCTCTGAAACGCAGGAGCGCGAATCGCAGACCGATTTGCATAGAATTGCTCAGGCCTGTTGTAGTCACCCAGCGTCCTGATGATGTTACCCTGTCCATCAAGTCGCTGGCCTCTCTCATTGCACACATGACCCTCTCGGTCTCTCCAGATTCCATCATCATCACGAACAAGTCCAATGGCGTTTTCCATCATTGCCGGATCTCTTGCTTTCCTGTTCGTTCGCTTTAACTCAGCTAGCTCCTCGTTGCTCAAATTAACTAGCGGGTGTCGCGCGACACCAATGCTGGTGTCGCTCGACACTAAGAAAAACTTAGTCGAAACTCAAGAACTAAAGTTTAATGGCGAAAATCAAGTCCCCGGCAACGGCGCCAAAACTTGATCTGCTCAAAGTTTAATCCCTAGAGCTACTCTGCAAGAGCACAGATGTGCAATTGTAGTATAATAGGGGTCGAACCACAGAGACGAGAGATTCGCTCAATAAACCTATTAGAAATTGAATTACGCTAAGCAGATTAATGAGAAGCAAATAGCAATGCAAATAAAGATAAACGGATGGAGATTAGGCTTAGGGCGTTTCTCAGGAAATCAATGCATGCAGATCAATCGATTAGTCAGGGTTCAGGTTTAAGCACAGTTCTTGAACTCGAATCACAGAATTATAATTAACCAACTTCCGTTGTGAGAATTATCTAAGTCAAAATCCTAGAATTCCAAATTCCTTTGCAAACCCTAAAGATTTAAACCAGCTTTAATGCTCAAGTTCGATATGTTCACAAAGTATCTAAACCAAATTCCTTTGCGAATAGCTACTTTGCTCACCCTAGGTTCTTTCCAGTTATTCAATTACACTTCCGTGTCAATTAAGCAACCTAAGATCTAAGTTCTAGGTGGCCAATCCAGAATTAGCTTTAAGAACAACCTATGGTGAAGAACTAAATAGATTATGAACCCTAACTAACCAATCAATCTAACATCCAATGAAATCCTTTATGAGAACCCTAAACCTAACAAGCAAACTACTCAGACATGGAGATTGAAGCAATAAGCATGATTGAATAGCTTGCAGTAAGCAGTAAATAGATTAATAAACAGGGGTTCGAAATCTTCTCTCTCCGGAACAGAGTTTCAGACTTGTCTCCCCAAAAACTCTCAAAAACAAAAACTCTCTCTAAGAAAATCTAAGGTAATCGTAAAAAGGGAATAAAAACCCTATATATATCTCTAAGACACGTTTTGGGCTTCCTTGGAAACGTTTAGGCCCAACTCCTTCTTTAAATAGGAAACAAAATCGCCTTTTCCTTATTTATTTGACAAGTGTCGCGCGTCACTCTCCATGGTGTCGAGCGTCACTAAAGCACAAAATCCATACTTGACGAATTTGATCCTGATTAAGCTCCAAAGTGCTCCAAAGTCTCCAGTTAAGCTCCAAACGTACCTATGACCTGAAAAGACTCCAAAAGACTCGAAAGACACTAAAAAGACTCTATAAATAAGACTTATACCATGGTTAAAAACCATAAAAACCATGATATATCAAGGTGCTGAGGGAAAATACCATTTGGTTTAAGGCTGTGCCCTTTAGAATTCTGGACTAATTTACGCATCATGTTCGCACCGGGATGACCCAGGCGATCATGCCAAATAGTGTAATCTAAAAACCGTGCTTTGATAGCAGCATTAGCCTCAATCATACTGATTTTAGCATGGTAAATGCCAGTAGATACGGCGGGTATAGTTTCAAAAACTTGTTTATGGCCATTTATCATTTTAGTGATAATTAAAAACTCTTTTTTCCCTTCATCCTGAGTTTCGATATGGAAACCATTCAATCTTATGTCTTTGAAACTCAATAGGTTTCTCTTAGAACTGGGTGAGTATAAGGCATCAGAGATGTCTAGATATGTGCCATTTGATAACAACACATTAGCTTGGCCATGGCCCTCTATTAGGCTCGAACTACCCGCTATAGTGCTAATGTTTGCGGTTTTGATTACTAAATTTATGAAGTAATTCTTGTCTTTTAGAATGGTGTGGCTCGATCCACTATCCACAATGATATCCATATTGTCTTGCATATCTTCATTAAACAAGAATTATAATTCAATAACATGCAAAAATGAGATGTAAATAAAACATTACTCCATAAATTAAAATGTAAAAGCAAAAGGTCTTAAAAATCCAAAGTAAAGACAATAAATCCCAAAAACAAAAGATAAAGGTTTAAGGAGTAATGAAAAACAAATTCAGATTTTTTGAGATCAATCAAGGAGGTCGGAGAGCTCATAATCCATGCCATCAA